TTAATCGTATGACTAATAATTTTTTAATTGTATTTTAAAGATTGTTTTGCGATTATTGAGAAAAATCCGCAATAGGATCGAAAGTCTATTGTATATTACGTATTGATTGAATAAATTCATTGCACGTGTATATTCAGTGTTCGACTCATTTAAATATTTATGGCTTGTTTTTATACAATATCAGCTAAAAATGAATTCTACAAATGTAAAAATATAATTCTTACAATTTTTTTTTAAAAATTGCTTAAAATAGTTAAAATAGCTAAAATAGTTTAAATAATAGTGGCTATAATATTATTGATAATATTATATAATATTGTATATAATATTATTAATTTATTATATGTTTTGTAATTTTCTAAATCAGTTTTATATATATTTTTTCTTTCTTTTATTTTTTCCATAATACGATTTTAAATATAAGATTGGAGTACAGCATAACTGGCACACATGTCTGTAAGATAAACCATAAGCTAACTTAATTTTTATAATGTCAAGTAGTTGTTATTAGAGCTGAAAGCAATCGTGTGTTTTATAGGAAATCCCTCAAAAAAGAAACTGTAGCATTATATGTTTGCATCTTATAAAATAGCAACATAAAGTATTCATATAAATGAAAAAAGTTTTATATAAAAGTGAAAAGATTCTAGAAATTTTTGTATATATACATTCACATGTAGGTATTTTTGTACAGATTTTGTACTCCTGTGAAAGAAAAAGAATAAGAATATATGGCATTACTGCCTATCGTGTTAGTTTTGGGGCTTATTTTGTCCAACGATCATTTTTGCTTATCTTTTAAAAAAGTAAATTATTGCAAACAGTATTATAAAAGCTTACATTATTTGATAGAAGGTATTTTCTAGTTTGTATTTATGTTTATAAAGTTTTTAGCTTTTGTTGGCCAAGAAATATTGCCTAAAAACAAAATGGATCTCTGTATCGGAGATCTTCTGACAGTTAAAACTCAATGAATGTTTTATTCGACGTACTTATCTTCTTATTAACTTAAGTTTGCTTCTTTTTGCAGCAAAATTTTTTTTTGCTTTTGGATGATCGTCGAAATTACGATCAATTTCCATATACAAGGTGATTTTAACATATTTCGTCATTCATCATGAGCAGAGTGAATCGAACTGAGTCGAAAAGTCATCTATCATTTTGCAGTTTGCAATAGTTAACAAAATATTAATTATTAAAAATTGCTAAATATTCTTGAATAATTTTTTACTCAAACTTACTATCAACTTTATAGAAAAACTGCAAGAGACAAAAATCATTTATTTTCTTCTCATAGAACTTTAAAAATTTTTTCAGAATTTTTTATCAATTTTTTAGTACAGTAGTAGTATTGCATTTTATTATTTTTATAGTAATACTGCATTTTATTATTTTTATCAACATGAGAAAATACGATATTAAAAAATTTTGAAAAAATTCTCAAAACTTTATGAGAAGAAAATAAATGGTTTTTGTCTCTCTCTTGCAACTTTTCTATAAAGTTGATAATATTTGAGTAAAAAATTATTCAAGATCAATATTTAACAATTTTTAGTAATTAATATCTTGTTAATTATTGCGAAATGATAGAAGACTTTTCGACTCAGTTCGATTCACTCTTGTTTATGGTAGATGATGAAATATGTTAAAATCACCCTGTGTAACTCGTATCGCAGACCTCTTCTCGCGACTGCAAGATCGTAATCTTTTCACTTGGTCAAGATATTTGTACTGAAAAAAATCAATACTTTTATGGAAATTACTTTTTTATGATCAGACTTAATTATAACTAATTATAACTTTTAATTATAACTTTTTTTCTAAATTTTTTAAAGTGAAAATATACGGAAAGAAAAAATTTGCTATGAACGCTAATTCTTTGCCACAATTTTCTTTGCAAATATAGAGATCGCAAATTATTTGCAGGTGTAACAAATATTTTTTTTGTACTCACTACAAGAATTATTTGTAGTAAATATAAAATATTTATCAAATATGCATATTTATTTGTTGCAGCAAATAAATTTGATAATTAAATTTGCAATCCCTTCGCGTTTATAGCGAAATTATTTTTTTCATATTAATGGTTTGTACATATTTGTACATATTAATAGTAAAAAATGTGAAAAAATAATAAAGACAAATTCAAATCGATAAAGCGGCTAGACTACTCTATTCGCCAAGCAATTAGACACGATTGATTGGATCCATAGGTAAGAACCAATCATATTCATTCGCTCAGCAAACATGCCTAGAACTTGCTCATTTTGTGTGTAAAATTCAATGGAATCCCGAAAATATATACAGCATGTGAAATTAATATAATGTGTAATTTTCTATGTGAGTCGCAATATTACATAATTATGCTGGATCAGAAGGTAGTAAATATTAATTTTATAAGCCCGATAGGTCTTATCGGAATTTCACTCTGTGTCGTTGAACTTCGTTTGGCCTTCGGCGGGATATCCGGTCTTTCCTTGGAAAGTCCAAACTCAAAATAGCATCTCCGCGTCGAGCGACGTCAGAAATAAACTACTTATGCTTTATGACCATGTTCTTACGTATTTTAAGTACGATGAAATGCATTAATATTCAAATGATTTTCCAGAATTAATAGAATTATTAATTTAATTTATATCTTTGAATTCTTTTTTAAGCATCTTTTTATTTATTCAGATTGTTAAGTCATTATATACATGGAAAGAATTTGTTGAAATATCTAAAAAGTTTAAGTAAATATACAGAAAAAAAACTTGGTTCATTAAAATAATTATGTATAGGAATTCTATCATGATGAATAATGCTGCAAAAAGATTAAACATTCTGTCAATTAGTTTGAGCGTTTTACATCAATATTGATAGTCCAATCTAAAAATATTTTCAGATCTTGCTTAAATATTTAAGCAAAATCGTTTTTTTTTTGTGTATTAATGTGTTTAATACGTAAATTTTAATCTTTCTGTTTATATTGTAATTATGATACATCATTTAGACGTTTAGACATAAAAAGACATATTATTAGTTAGATTTCAGCACAAGTAAATAATTGTTCCTCGATTATAACAAATGATATTCTATTCTTTAAACGTTTAAACAATGATTCTAAAAAATAGGTACTACATAGAATAAATAAAATATCTGTTTGAAATTCTTGGATGAGATTTTAAAAAATGCGATCATGGTTTTCCATAATTCTCTTTCTCTGAATATTATTTTTTATAAGTATATTTTAGATCTTTTTATGCAGATCGATGATTAATAATTATCTCATTCACAACTTAGACAGAAAACGGCGAATATCTTACGAAATTTGTATAAAAAGATAAATATTTCTCTGTCGAACAGTTGCTTTTCACATTTATAATTTTTTATCAAAAAATAGTGATGTATGAAAGTTGAGTCAAATTGAGGCAAAAATGAATCATATCTGAAAAAAAAATTTTCAGAGCCAATTTGTAACTATAACTTAATTAATAATACATGGATAGTTTGATGAGTCAATGACTTTCATTTACTTTTTTTTTTAATTAAAAATCAACATATTTTTTAACACAGTTTTATTTAAAAAAATCACTGATTTGTTAAACTGCCCATGTACATTATTTGACATTAATTCTGATTGACATAATAAAAGAGCGGATAACGTTTCCACCTTTCTGATAATTATTCGCTTTTTAATATATTCTGTACATTGATTAGAATACATACGATTAGCTAAGCCGAGCGATTCCATTTAAAATTCGCATAATTTTTCATGAACTGTTCAACGCATTATAACATTTTCCTTTTTACGTCTTTGTACGATAAATATGATTATTCGACGTGCAATTACACACACACACACACACACACACACACACACACACACACACACACACACACACACACACACACACACACACACACACA